ATTTAAGTCGTTGCAAATTTATGTGGCAAGGGGTGAATATAACGCGAAGCAACCCGATTTGGTTGAAGTCCTGGAGCCAAGGCCACGAATAGCTGACCAATAGACTCGTTAGATGCTGTTTGCTGGACAGGTGTCGTGATCCTGAAAGCACCAGTGAGTTGAGACTCACATGTCGGAAGCTTTTTCGTTGGCAGACTCTCCATGCATGTACTACCAGTGACAATAGTAATTCAACATATAGTGCCAGTCGTGAAGCAATCATATGAAACGGAGAGCTATACGCACGTTAGCATGGTGGTCGCAAAAGTGCAAAATGATAGTAAGAAGGAGAATTCGAGGCCAAGGATAATATCTGCAACCAGTCATATTACAACTGGGTGAGATGGTAAGAATCATCCTATTGGTCTTCCATCACGCCATCTTCATTCAGTTGAACAATTCAAAATCATCAATTATTTATTCACGTGATCCATTATAAAATCACAACTTATTTTTATTTTACACACTTCGAAAAGTGTAAAAATGTCATTGGTCATTCTACGGAACATCCAATCGAAAATTTATAGTGTGAATGATGTGTAGTTGCATGATTAGAAGAAAAACATCAATTTGATGAAATATGCAGGTAATTTACTGTTGCTCTAATCGTAAATGAATCACAACATAGGTATAACAGTCAAACATTTGTTTCTTTTCGGATAGCTACAATACTTTCACAATTCAGAGCAATCCAGTTACTCGGTACAGACATTTCATACACTAGACTGACCTACACTTATAATATCACATTTCTTAAACTGAATTAGATAAAAAGAGATTGGAACCCGGAACGCACTGGTTGTAAGTCAATACTAAAATTAATGAACCCCATTACAGTAATGCCAATATCCCCTTCAAAAATGATAAGTGAAATGTTTGCAAATTGGATATATTTACCTAGAATACGTTGTGATAAAAAGCACATGAACAATTAAAAATTGGTTAATGCAGTGATTATTGTCAAGGAAACTCGTAGAGATATTCAAGCTTTTAAGCAGTATACTTTGTATTATGGGATATACATATAAACAGAAAGAGTCAAACTTCAAATCTGAAGTTGACTGACACACAGTAGCCCGTTTAAACCGAATAATCTCAGTTCAATAGTGTTAATTAGCACTAGTATACAGAAACCGGAAACACCCCATAATCAATAACCAGTGAGTAAATAAGACTTACACGTTTGCTGAAATTCTTAATAACTCAATCTATGAGAAACTCAAGCGAAACAAAGTATTTTGGTGTGGTTGTGTTCTCTGAGCTGGATGGTTTGGTTGCGAAACAAAGTATACAAGTGTAGCAAAATCTACGTCAAATAACACCCATTACACTAATAACGCAAAATATGTTAACACTTACATCTTGAACATGCTTTTTGACTAATCCAAGACTTTCCGGATGGTTTTGATGCAATAGATTGATGAATGTGTCAAAGTAATTCTCAAAGTTATTTTTAACTTCCAGAAATGTAGTGTGCAGATTAATATTAGTTGTCATAGTACGACTCTACAGAAACCGGTATCTATAAGAGAATTTACAATAAAGTAGGTTCAAACAGCAAAGCAATGTACAGTGTATAAAGTGAAGGACTATATGTATACAACAAACTGGATTCCCCAGTTTTGGTTTCATTTCTCTAAGTAGATTACGTACCTCTACTTTTACATTATTTAGAGTACTAGACATTTTGTACCAGTGCTTATGGACCTGACTCGATATGTTCTAAAGCTTTTTTGTCATAATCTTCTCTATTGAGAATTACGCTGACATTGCCTTTATCAGCTTTAGCTATGACAATAGTTTTGTCCGATCTTAAAGTTTGTAGTGCATGACGTTTGTCCTTCGACAAATTTGTAGTTGCCTGCTTTTGATTTGACAGGTCACATCCAGTTTCTTTTTACTTTCTTCTCTGGCTTCGTGTGCTGAGTGAAGTGTGGCGACTCGAACTAAGACAAGAACACAAGAACACACAAGGACACTCCTTGCATGTCACGCAGCCGACCTAAAGTCAGGCAAACATACAGTTTAAACATGGAAAAATCTCCCGACTTTCCTTACCCAACAATTTTCGTATTCAAATGGAGCGCGAATTCCATTCTTTAGAGGAATTTGTGCGGATAAGGAATATTGAACAGTCAAGTGTATATATCTAGGGCATGCAGACCGAACTTATCTCGCATGCTCCAGGTCATCGGAAGAGTTAGACACTTGAAGGCCACCTTCATCCAAGTTGTTTGGCCATGCTGGATCACCGTTCACCAAGCGCTCATTTACACATCGGTTTTCACGTTTATCCTGCAGTTATTCACAACTTACCTTGATGCACACTGTTCACAAATGTCGCGTTTCACCTCACTGTTGTTTCCGTTGCTGGTAAAGTTAGTTATTTTGTCTGTTTCGAAAGATTTATCACCAGGACATTCCATTCATTTCATTTTAATAGTTTCATACGTTGATTTTATGCGTGGCTGCAGTGATTTAGTTGTTTTTCAGCTATTAATGAAATATTAGTGTGTAGAAGTTTTGGAAACTATGATCATGAACATATTTGGGTGCCAGAAGCTGTTATTCACAGTTCATTTGTTGGTTGCTATTATTTCTGCTGGCTCAATGTGGTACATAATATGTAGAAATCTGGAAAAAACTGTAGTTCTCGCTTTATTCAAAAACAATATCTTTCACGTTCATGTTTGTAGTATGCAAAAATCTACGAGTAAATCTGATAAAGAGAGCACGATCAGAATTGATATTGGCAAGGTCTTCCTTCCCACCAGGTCGGAAAACCTTAGAGGACATAGCAGGAGAGTTCAAAAGCCAAGAAGAAATCATATTGCTGTTGAGTTCTAGTTCTCACACCGAGTCATAAAGTCTTGGAAGCGACTCCCAGAAGAAGTATCGTCTGCAATCTCAACTGATTCATTCAAGAAGGTTTTGGACAACCACAGAAATTTACTAGAAAAGGACTTTCATCGTCTCCAAGTCTTCTATCCTCAACCAATAAATCCAAAGATATTTAACCTGGAGAATTTAGAGTCTGGGTTGTAGTGGAAAAACTTTGAAGCTATTTGAGATGGGTGTACACCGTCAGTGTATCTACGTTCAGTTAATTAACTACCAATATGTTGTCAGAGAATCTAAATTAAACAAGGATGAGCCACATGTGAAGTATGAATATGTGGTGTTTGTATGTTATTTGGAGACAAAAGAAATCGGGTGACAATCAGAAACTTCTAAGGGGTAAGTGTTACCTCTTGTTTTTAATACCTAATATACTAGATCTAAACACATGAACAAGGACTGCCTGTAGTAAAGTCAATGTTGTCAGCCACTCATGATGTTGCAAAACGATTTAAACAGAGGATAACATGCGAGGGCGATGATAAGGCATATCCCCTGTTTGAAGTGGCGCCTCCAGCTTTGCCTTGAGGACATTTGCGCGGTCTAGTTGGTTTCAGTTTGGCTGATTTGTTTCGTTTGATCTAGGTAGCTGCATTTGACGTGATTCTGGTTTCTGTTTGGCTTGAACTGTATTGATTTTTTTAAGAATAGACCTCAAAAGCTGCCTCTAGGCCTGAAGGCAGTTATGGTGCAGGAGGATGCTTGAGAATGTGTTTCATGTGAAAATTATAGGGTGCACCTAAAATCCTCCTGTTTGTGGCGTCTCAATGATTTCTGTAGGGCTTCGTTTCATCACATGTGTCCATATTTGTCGTTCACGAGTGTTTCAGTAAATGTTTATGGCTATAATCAGGATGGCCATCTCTGACGACAGCGGTTATATTTCTTCCTCACCAACACTGCCTCATCCACATAGACTACTTCGTCGTCCCCGCCTAACAACGAAGTAATTCTGTCCGTCTTTCATGAGGCGATGTCCCTGCAGTGCTGGTATACCAGTGGTATACCATTGAACTGTTGAGACGAGGCTGTGCTCCGTCTCGGCAGCAGCGGCTCTCACGGGCTGTTTCGGTACCCAGTAATTGCAAATATACAAAATCTGGGTTAGGGAGAGATGAGACCTAGCAAAAAATTCCTACGAAATATTACCCTCTCTAATACCAACTCGCTTCCAGCATATTCCACAACGGTGTACAAAACCATCAGTTGACCTAGTATAGCTGTTTAGAGTCATTACACCACCACAAGAACAACTTCTATCCTTTCGAAGCAAGCCTAAGTCAAGGCAATACTGAAAGATACTATCCTCCTCGAATTGCAAACGTTACCTTGTAAAAGCACGCGTTGAAATGAATCAAGCGCTATACACCATTGATCTACGTTCGTGAATCTCATTGGATAATTCGACGTCGTTCGCTGATTAGTAATTATTGGTGTCTAAAGTTTAACTTGGCCAACAAATCGTTTATATATAAGCAATGCAGTGTTAAAATTTCGGCAACTCCAAACAATAATAAACCCAAAACGAAACGACCTACGAACGCACAAATGACCTTGTAAAGGACCATTCAGAAGGCTAAGTAAAACGACAATAGTCGTCCCAGGCAGCACTAAGTGCTAGATAATAGGCAATAATACACATGCCCTGCGCTTGGGGTTCGACTCAATATGTCCTTTCTGGAGGCTGGTGTCATATATCCCCAAAACCTATTGCTGGAAAAAACAGTCACCTGATCTGTTGCTCAAGGTCATTTGTGCGTTCGTAGGTGGTTTCGGTTTCGGTTCCTATTGTTTAGAGTTGCCCTTTCTCTTCTGTTAGAAGCAAATGTATAATGTTATACAAGTGACTATCATCCATCCGTCACAACAAACTGAAGGAGATCAAATCTTCAAGCTTTATACTTCTTTGTTTAAGTTACCCCGTAATATTCTTCTTGTAGGTGGATCCAATGCTTATCACATCTGTAAAATTTATACACATATTAACTTGTTCCCTTAAGCTAAAAATAGAATGCCTATCTGATTTTATTACAGCTATTTCAAAGCACGCCTCAGTAACGCACAACACGTATTAGCCGCAACGTTAATACAAAGAAAAATCTACCAATCACAGGGTGCATAAGTGACCTTCAAGTGCTCAGCCTCTTCGTAAGCCATTTGTGCCGCTATCCTCTGTCACAGGCTGGCTCTCAAGAGTAAGGTTTGAGTGGTCAAGTGGGGCAAAGTTCTACAATAGACATTGGAACATTTACAATCCTGGGACTCTACTGTTGAACTTCGCCTTGTCCCATGTACATGGGACTAACGTTAGTCGGATTTTAATAATTACTTTGTAAGAGGACTTTTATTGGGTAGTATCATGAAGTAATTTACTGCGTGGTTAACAGTATTGAAGAGTTGCAAATGAGGAAAGATGTGATATAATCTGTCCAAGCATTGTGTAATGCTAAATTAAATCTCGCTAATTCTGAACTAACTCCAACATACTATAGTGAGTAAATTCTAAAAATGTTCTAAAATGGTTTGATTATGTAGACAGACCAGAGCTCAGTACTGTTTTTCAGCATGACTGGTTATTGTTCAGCACCTTGTTATTTTTAGTAGGTATTTCCAGAGGTTGCTCAGATCCTGCTGGGTTTGCTAATCAGCGTTGTTTCAGCCCTCTCAGCACAGATGCATCCCTGACTGGCTTTGTTTTAGAACAAAAAGACTTAGTTCAGTTCATAGTGACAATTTTCCAGCCTTACTTTAGCAGCTAATCCCATTTTGCAGGATTCGTCGCAATAATTAAGCGTCCAGTGCTCTTTTTAGGAACGGCCAGCGTTATTTCAGTACACAGTAGTTTCATTGTAGGTAGATAAAGTATTCATTTACCACAAAAAGGCATTATCGACGCATAGGTCAGAACTAGTATAGACTTATTGTAGGCATGGGTGTCGGCAAGTAACGAAAAGTGTTGAGTTGAGTGCTGCACAAATTGTACCGAGTAACAGTTAAAAGTTCACTTAACAATTAAGATAAAGACAAGAGAGCATGGTGTAAAAAGCTTTGACATCATATTCTGCTAAATATTGGTTAATTCAAGTCACATGGCTACAACATCATTATATGTTGCTAACACGAACTGGACACGTCAATGAAGTGTGATACAGTTTTATGAACAACGTTCGTCATCAGTTTAGGCACATCTAAAAGAAGGGCAGTTCAAGGAGTAAATTGTAAAGTAATGTAGTTTAGTTTTCCAGTTATCAATATGTGGTTAATTAGTTTAGGTGCTCCACTTCTGACTGGTGGATCATGGTTCCAAACCCCACTGCACCTACCGAGATTTAGACACCGAAGTAGTTTCTATAGCCCTCATAAATTAGTATGGTTCGTTGTTAAGATTTCATTCTCATATTTATTGGTTGAGGATAGAAGACTTGGAGACGATGAAAGTCCTTTTCTAGTAAATTTCTGTGGTTGTCCAAAACCTTCTTGAATGAATCAGTTGAGATTGCAGACGATACTTCTTCTGGGAGTCGCTTCCAAGAGTTTATGACTCGGTGTGAGAACTAGAACTCAACAGCAATATGATTTCTTCTTGGCTTTTGAACTCTCCTGCTATGTCCTCTAAGGTTTTCCGACCTGGTGGGAAGGAAAAGAGAGAATAGGTCAGGTCCATAGTCATTATTTAAAATTTTAAACGTGATTAAATCTCCTCTCTACCTACGGTATGTCTAGTCTTTCCCGGTATGATAAGTTAGTCATGTCGAGAACCATACGTGTTGCCTTCCTGTCCCCTTTAAGACAAGGACTGGCTGCCTGGATACAGTTTTCTAGTCTTGACGTCACCAGAGATGTATATAAGGAGGTGAACATATCTCTGGTGACTCTAGTAAAGCCTCTCCGAATCGCCCATAATGATCTGAAACTACGTGCAGCCACCGCGCGACAGTGTGCTGTAGTTTTTAAATCGTGGCTAACTATGTCCAAGCGAGTCTGAACTGATGAAAGTGTTATTCCCTCTTGTTCGTAGGAGCTGGCGCTTGCTTGTGCGATGCGCATGGTTGCACATTTTGCTACACTGATCGGGGGCATCCATTCTATGGGCCACTCTGACAATTTGTTGAGGTCCTCTTGCAACGTGGACGTGTCACTGTTGCCCTTCAGCCCTCTCCAAATTTTTAAGTCATCTGCTTATAGGACCATAGGGGAGTCGGTGAGCAGAGATAACTCATTGATATACAAAATAAATAGGAGAGGTCCGAGTACCATGCCTTGTGGCACTCCGCTATGTACTGCTGTCCAAGAGGAGAGTTCCGAGTTGATTCTAACCCTCTGCCTCCTATCTATAAGGAATTCCTTGAGCCAGTTTAGTAATCTGCCTTTGATACCAAGACTTTCCAACTTCATGAGTAGTCTTCTGTGAGGTACTTTATCAAAGACTTTGCTGAAGTCTATGAAGACAACGTCAACGGGTCTTCTTTTGTCCCTTGATTTGACCCAGCTTTCTTTTGCAGTGAGGAGATTTGACAGGCATGAGAGGTTTCTTCGGAAGCCGTGCTGTGCTCTGGATAACATTATTTTGTTTTCCAGATATGCCATGATGCTTTTCTTGATGATTCTTTCCAGTGTATTGATTAAAGTGCTGGTGAGACTGGTAGGCCTGTAATTTGAAGGGCTGTCTTGATCCTCCTTTGTGGATGGGGGTTACTATGGCGTCTTTCCAGCCACGCGGTAACACTCCATTTAGAAGAGAGAGCTTGAAGATCATGGTCAAAGGGCCGGCTATATGAGCTGATAGCTCCTTGAGAAGTCTTGGATGAAGATTATCAGGACCCATTAGTTTCCATGCATCTAGTTTCAATAGGCAGTTGAGCACGATGCCTTGCTCAATGTCAACGGAATCTATCCCGTATTCCTCTGATGCAACCAGAGCTGATCGTATAGGGAGTGATGACTCCTGTGTAAATACTTGGGAGAAGTAGTTTGCCATTGCTTCTGCTTTTTCTTGATCTTCGATTGTGTCATGGTCAATAGTCAGGTTTGGGACACCATTGGATGTTTTATTCCTGAAGTTCATGTACGAGAAAATTTTCTTAGGTTGTGCCTCTGCATTTTGAGCCAGATGTGCTACGAACTTCACCATTGATTGGCGGATTTCTGCAATAGCTTTGTTTCTAGCAGTGTTATATAATTTCCTGGTCTCAGGAGTCTCAGTTGTGGCAAACAGGTTCCAACATTTGTGTTTACGTCTGAGTAACTTGCGAATCTCTCGGTTTATCCAAGGGGGGAAATGTTTCTGACCCTTTGGGACAGACCAAAGGATAAAAGGTTCAGTTACTTGGGCGTAAAGTTGTTTAAATTGGTTCCATGCGGCTTCTACTTGAGACTCTGGGTTGATGTACCAGTTTACTGAGTTGGCTGCTGAGACGATTGCATTTATATCAGCTTTCCAAACGTTTGGTCGAGATGGGGTTTCGGTCCTTGCTGCTGTTGCTGTGATCTTGAAGGTGCGCACATCATGATCACTTCTTCCAAAAGGAGGAAGGTGTTGTATGAGATCCACATCCTCACCATGAGAGAACACTAGGTCCAGAGTTGAGGAGGAGTGCTGTGAGTCATAGCGCATGGGCTTAATGATATTTTGGACTAAGGGTAACGATATACTAGATTCCAGCAGTTTATGATCAAAGGAGTTGACTGAAGATGGCGTTGTAAGGCTCGTCCAGCGTCGGTGGCACAGTGGTTAGGACTCTCACCTACCATCACGTGGTCCGGGGTTCGATCCCCTACCGACGCACACCAGATATCAGTGGTTGGCCTGCAAAATTTGGGCCACCGATATCGCATGCTGAGAATTCCATACTTGTACCGAAAATACGGTGTGGAATCAAGTTGTAATAAAAAAAATCAAAAAAAAAAAACTTGAGGCGTTGAAGTCGCCGACAAGGGGACTTTGACACGGACACGTACCTGATCCTCTAAGAATTTGAGAGTTGCTTAGAATGGCATCCCTCCCTTCTTTGGAGTTTAGTACGACTTTGAGGAGATGTACAGGCTAATTTACTGTAGGGTCAGGCTTTTCGCTCATTCTGTATACACTGTGTGTTGTTATACCTGATACCGTTTTTGGCAGTAGCTTATCTAAAAGGGACTTGACCAAGCTAAGGTCATGCTCAAATCTAGTCTTGGGATCGGGGGCCAGTGACTCTTCCACTTTGTGGAGAATGAGCGGCCTGTCAGAGAGATCAGGTTTGTTTCCCGTGGCTTTCTTGCTCTGTGGCGTAAATGTCTTTTTGTCCTTCGTGGGAAGTGTAGCCGATGTGTTTTCCTTATCTCGCTATTTGCGCAAGACTACATTACGCCATTCATTGACGCCCTCCTCTCTAATCGTAGTCGATTTTATCTGCCTGCTATCCACCGGTATGGATGAGGCTTGATCTACTGGTCCCTGGGCGACTTGAGTTGCAGGTTTTTTAACGGGAAGAAGTTGCAAGTGGTTGAGTAGTTCATCTTTTCAGTCTTCTAATTAGACTTATTAGTATTGTGAGTATTCGTAAATGGATTTTTGACGAATATTGTAGGATCCTGACTCTTGCGACACTAATAAATCACTAGCATAATTATTTTTTATGACCATGTTCATTTTTGTATGTGATCTGCTTTTATCTTCGGCATCCTGCAAAGTCGTGTTTTCAAATGTAGCTACTTGATTTGCTTTGGTGTTTTGTTTGATATTATTATAGATTTCTTAGCCCTGAGATTTTTATCCACCTAGTATGGATTCACGTTTCACTGTGGCTGTTTCACTATGGATTCGAAAACCTCAAGTTGTACATAAGGATGTATTTGCTTCGTCTGTAATTAACGAATGTGATGAGTCATGCGAGAGAGTTATATACCCAAAGCTGCGTACTGGAATCAAGGAATTCACTGAGGTGTTAACGAAAGGCACATGGTACAAGTTCTCGTCTGCCTTTATAACCTATACTATAGAGATGCAGGAGTAAGTTCAGTAATTTCATATTACTGGAAGTGATCGAATCCAAATATCTGTTTTGGAAGAGCTTCCTTCTAGTTTCTTTCAAGGTTCTTGGTTAAAAGAAGTACTCGAAAAGAAGCTTAATTTCTGGTATTCTTGCGAAATTAAGGTCAATATTAATTCACTTTCACTGGTCGACCCTCATGTATATCAAATGGAATATGAAAGACTCAAGAATGCATATGGATCAATCCTAGTTCATGTACTAGTTGGAAATATAATTGATCGTTACTTATAGAATTGGTCGGAAAGGACAGACCCGCTGAAATTTGTATATGAAGATATTGGCATAGCGTGTTATCTAACAGTGAGGTACATATTTAGTTGAACGTATCTATTCAGTGTTTGTGGAAGAATGAACATGTTAACTTTGTTGACCTTGGCTGCGGAAACGGACTGTTGACATACATACTATTGTCTGAAGGGGTAATTCACCTTATTTTTTTATTAGACCAAGTTCGATGGTGTAGGAATAGATGTTCGAAAAAGACGCATTTGGGAATCGTATCCTCATAATGTACAACAACGTCTAAAGGTATGTTGTTGAGTCCTTTCAAATTTTTAAAAACTAAACACAAATCGTTGTGTTCTTTAGTAATTACCACTATTTGAGTGTCCTCATGTGGCGCTTAAGTACCAGTAAATAACTTGAAAAAATAGAATACTGATTGTTTTCTATTCATTTTATTAGCTATATGTAAACAGTGTCTATCAGTTTGAACTAAGTTGTACATTATACCGTCAGAATGTATTCACATTTTCTCTTTAGTTAAAAGAATGAGCATTTTATTGTCGTGTTTATCTCTCATCACTTTGTCATGATGAATAATTTTTTAGCTGTTAGTGGTTTAAAGCTAAATCTCAACGTATCTTTTCTTACAAAATTTGTTATTAGGAAGTTTCGTTAAATCCAGAAAACAGTAATGGCTTTCCGGAGGCGAATTGGCTGATCGGAAATCACAGTGATGAACTAACTCCCTGGTTGCCAGTTCTGGCTTGCAAATCTGGTCCGCTCTGCAAGTTATTTGTACTACCATGTTGTCCTTATGGTCTCTTTGGCAAATTCAATATACCAATAAATTCACTTCCATTCTTACGAGAAGGCGTAAATGTCAAAGAAATAACTGAAAGTCGATATGGTATTTATCTCAAATACATACAGCAGGTATTTGCTATTTGTGGATTTATCCCCGAGGTAGACGCCCTGAGAATTCCATCTACTAAACGCGTAAGATTGTATTTACCAGTCATTAATATGTATATATATATATATATATATATATATATATATACCCACGAAACCATAACTCTTTATATCTCGTACTAATCGGAGGAATGTTTCCACAAGATTGAGATGAACGATCCACGGCTTAAAGCTGAACTGGTGGGCACGTATAGTTGACCCAAGGGATTTAAGAAGTCCTCCAAAGCCTCAGGATGGTCGGGGGTGGGTGCCTTGCGCTGCGGGTTGGCTACCCCTCCGCACACCTCTTGAAATGCTCCCATATGACCGGGCGTCTTACATAGCCTCTCCTGAGGAAGTCCTACTCACTGCCTTCACGTGGCGGAGGTGTTTCTCACCAAAGTGAGAGGGCGAAAGCGGATGCCCGGCGCTCTTCACTGAGTTGACTGTCCATTGGATGACAGTCTAGGGGAGATGGCTAAACCCTGACTCCAAACCTCCAACGACTGGCGTATGAAGCTCACTGGAGCTCACCGGCAGACGTATAGACAGAGGGCTTGTTGGATGTCCTGGATGTCTGGCTCCATTCAAAAAGGCGTATGAACCGAACTCCGGTCACCGGCTGCCAATAGATGGTGGACTCCCTACTCCACTCCTACTGCCTTGTAGGTCACACTTGGTTGTGTAAAGGCTAGAGCTGCACTCTCAAACAAAAGGCCGAGCGATTCTGGGGACATCACTCGTACCAAATTCCCATGAAACTTCATGAACTATCTTCATCAGATCGCCGCGCCTGGGCAGCGATGATTCGAGATGTTCATGAAGCCGGCTAATCCTCCCGTAGGAGATAGCCGAAGAAAAGTAAGTAAGTAATTATAAATTGTATACATAAGCTCCGAAAGGTACCCATAGGAACACATTACGTGACTTTGCTTCACTGCTCTGTGAATAGAACTCAATAGGCGCCGGTAGCGGTGTGTTTAGGGAAGCAAATGCTTCAGTTTGGATGTATTAATAGTAATCAGGTTCTCACAGAATACAATTCTATATTTTATTTCTTGATGCCCTTACTGTAACAAGCTTGTGTTCAAATAATACAATCATAATAAATACGGTGCTGTATCGATCAGTAATTATGGAAAGCAGTTACATCGATTTCCAACTAGTCATCAGTTCGTGTATACAGTTTGACCGTCACTTCTCTGGGGCATATCTACAAAATCGTGATAAACTTGCAAGTTTGGTGATAAGAAACGAATCTATGTGTTAGCCTATGGTCATCTCTCTTGGTTTCCATCTCTCTCTGTGAAATAAGTTCAGAAGGCGATTGGTTACAATGGACAACCGTGTAATTTTTTCCGATTTCAGTTGTTCAGCATTACTAAGTAGACCAATTGAGATATTACTCGTAATGAGTAAATCCCCTTAAAAAGGTATTAATTTTCAGTCATTGTGAGCAAATAAAAATAACACTGAAAACCAATTAGTTATTGTCTATAATACTGTAGTTTTTGAATGATGAACGGGATTATGAAATAGACCGTAGCGAGCAAGAAGACACCAGAAGACCTGAACTTCGCGGATGATTTGTCTCATGTCACATAAAGTCTACTATCTACTGGTGAAAACTAACAAGCTGATAGTATAAGCAGTGAAGACAGGACTTCGAGTGAACATAGAGAAGACAAAGGTGATGAAGATACCCAACCAACGAAAACTATCACTGTCAACAGAAGAAATTTGAAGGAATTCACATCTTTCACTTATGTAGGCGTCATTGTTCCAACTGCATGCGGCACAGATGAGAATGTCAAACACAGGGTCGGAAAAGTAAGACAGGCCTTCATTACCCTGAAGCCATTTTAGAAATCTGCTATACTCAAAATAAGGAACAAGATGAGAATTTTCAACATTAATATCAAAACTTGGCGCGCACTTCACCAGAAGCATTTCTAACAGCCTGCTGAGAACTTTTATCAATAGTTGCTTTCTCTAGGTCCATTCTGAAGATCACATGGCCAGAAAGGATTAGCGACAGAGAACTATGACAAGGAACCAACCGAGAACCTATTGCCCAACAAGTGACCGTTAAGTGGCATCATACACTAGCCCATTGAGTGGATCCCGAATGGGACACAATCAGATGGGCGTCTCAGAGTGACGTAGAGGAAATGAAAGCTTGCGGGCAATCGTGGAGCCAGCTGAAAAAGACTACAGAGAACAGTGTGAAATGGAGATTTGCTGTTGCAACCTAATGTTCCGCTCGGAACATAAAGGAATTGTTGTAATATAAGTAGTTTTTCAAATTGTAGTATCGGTAGTCATTCACCAGTTATGTGAAACTCATTAATACTGCCAAGAGAATTAAGACATCATAGATAAAAATAAAATTTCCAAATTCTTATCTTCTCTAGACTTTACAGTGTCAATGTGTTTTCCAATGTCTGTCCCTTCTCAGTTTGAAGGGATGATGTATATATATATAGGTTATTAAGTTACGTATATGTTGTTACATTATATATATATATGATATTCCATGGTGGCATTTGTTCAGACATTTCTGTAGACTGATGTGATATAAATATGCTTTCAAAGATTCCTCCACTGATTCGTGGGAGATTTCTGATCACAAATTCGGGTTTCTTGTAACGTAAGTAGTACTTTAAGTATGTTCTAACCTTAGTGAGCTAATCTCTTATAAGCTTGAAAACAATGACTACAATTTCATCGGAAATGGTGTTCGATGTTACAGTAAGAGATGAAATATCGAGTTATTCATTTTAAAAAGAATAAACTTTTATAATTTGACAAAGTAAACTGATACCATTTCTTGTTAATGTATCCATAAGGCCACCTTTTTACCTTGTATGTACTTTAGATATGCTTGGTTGGAAGATATTTAATTGATGATTCAAAGAATTTTGATGACATGTATGCAAATCGTTTGTCTAATGTTCAAAAGTACATCGAATATGAACGTAACTTCATTGTGAAACCTGAAAAAAGATTTGTTGCACGTCCATCTACTGAACAGTCTTACAATTGTTCTACTGTTTCTAGAAAAGTTCTTGACAATATTTGTCATACAATCTTTACTGCCTTGTTGAACTGTCCGCCCGATAAAGAGTATTTACTGTCTCACAATGTGAAAATTTCGGATGAATTAAAGATACAAACTTTGGACAACCGTTGGTGGAATCCTGGTGGTGAGACTTGAACTTTTATTTCATCGAAATCTACTGTTTTATGAAATTCTTAGCAATATAAGCTCCCGCGAACTCTTAACCTTTGTCGAACCAGACTTCCACTGAACAGGCAGTATGGATTTCGGTGTGTAGTTTTTCATTTACGAAGGTAGTGGAGGTCTCACTTGGTATTTACTAGGTGTTACTTTACGCTTTTGTTCACACATATATTGTTAATTCCGTTTTCTTTTCGCCACAATTTATTAATGATTTTCCGCCCCCATAAACGACGTGGTATGGTCGGCGGTAAGCAGACGTCGACCATCCTTTCGAAATGCTTTGTGACCTCGCGTTTATAATCTCTCCCAGGTACGTCTTGTCCTCTGCCTCCACGCAGAGGAGGTGTTCCTCACAAAAGTGAAAGGGTAGATCCGAACTTCTGGCGCTTACAACAGGACTGGTGGACACGCAGGTCTACCCAGGGGAGCCTAGAAGCGCTAATTCCAAACTTATAATGTACAGGGGCTACAAAACCTGATAGGATCGAATGGTGTATGAGCCTGTTTCGGTCACCGGGAACCATGGGAACGCAGCTCCCGATGCTGCTCTATTGTCTTGTGGATCAGACTTCAGTAATAATGTAAGTGTAGAACTTGTGCACTGGTTGAATGTAATCCCATATTAGATAAGTTTATTTAAAAAATTATACAGTGATAGAGTATCTAACAACTGGATGACGTTTCGAGCATAAATTATTGCTCATAATCATATCAAATTAGTCAAACGGCTTCACAGTTTGTCGGTGGCACAGTGGTTAGGACTCTCACCGACCATGCACATGGTCCGGGGTTCGATCCCCTGCCGGCGCACACCCGATATCTATGGTCGGCCTGAATTTGGGCTACCGATATCCATGCTGAAAGTTCCATACTTGTACTGAAAATACGGTGTGGAATCAAGCTGTAAATCAAAATAAAAAATCAAAATAAAAAAAAAATAAAATATATATTTCCAAGTATTGGCTTTGTAGGGATTTTGTTTGATTGGATGGAGGATTTCATCATCGTCATCATGAGCTGACATCAGCTGATAGGATATCGTCGGTGAGGGTCAGTAGAAGTCTGCCGCTCCTTCTGGAACACGTGCGTAGATTCCGATCACGCTCTAGTCCGCGCACGTTTGTGCGTACAATTAAACGGACATAAAAGATTGCTGGCAGCGAAGCAGTTACGTCCTCAACTAGATCGAGACACTGAGTCCCTATTTGAGGAGGGAATAGCGAAACGTGTATCTGAGGTCGACAGCAGGACTCCTGAGGTAGCCTGGCACAACATACAGTTAGCTGCAGACACAGCTGTAAAAGCTGTTAATAACCTAAAACCAAAAGTTAGTAAGAGCCATTGGTTCTCTACCATCTCATCCGAACTGACTGATGTAAGAAGACTGATTCCGGCGAGCTCCAATTATGATGAGGAGCGAAAGCTGCTCAAACACAAGAAGTCTTCTTAACGACCGTAAACAGTGGTGGGCGACAAAAGCTACGGAGATGGGAAAGACATCGGCGATTGGTAACACCAGACAACTATTTAGACAGGAGGTAAAAGGCAAACGATAAGTGAAACAATCTCTGGGAAAAATGGCAGCGTAATTAGCTCCCAGGATAGACAACTGGAACGCTGAAAAGAACACTTAGAGGAACAGTTTAATTGGCCTACTGCTACGCTCAGCCTACCGAACATCCAACACCTCCCTGAATGGGAAACAGACACAGGTCTTCCGTCCCTAACTGAGGTTACTGAGGCTGTAACTAGTCTAAAACAAGGCAAAGCTAAGGGACCCGATGGAATGACTCCTGAATTAACTAAAGTATTAGCCAGCGTATGGGAATCAGAGATAGTCTCGTCGTGCTGGTGTGTCATTGATTATCCCAATGTACAAGAAGGGAGACAAGTCTTCCTGTGATAAATCACCGGGAGTTAGCTTGACCAATATATTATCTGAAGTTCTAGGCTCGATAATAATACGTAGACTAAGCGGCCTACGGGAGGAACAAACACGAGAGAGCTAGATAGGCGTTAAACCAGGAAGAGGGTGTAATGTTCATTTCTTCACCCTTCGACAGATTCTGGAACATAGGCATACTCACCGGTGTCTAACAATCGTCATATTTCTTGGTCGGAAAGCAGCATTTCTGTTTAATTTCATGATAGATATACTAATGGATTGACCCTAACTGACTTCACGGATTGACTTGTTACCATCCGGGAATGATCTCGTTGACTTGGAATATACAGATGATATAGTCCTCCCTCCGAAGTGAAGACGATGACAAAATGTAGTCTTCTGAACACCTTGAGCAGCACTCTGCGAATGTTTGGCATGTGATTTGCTTCTGTCAAATGTAAGATGATGTTACAGGACCGGAATACATTGACTCCTAGCTTAGAAACAGGGAGTGAAGTGGTATAGCACGTTGACCACTTCACTTATTTGGGAAGTTGCATCAGCCAGAGCCAACGGGTTGATCGCTGACGAAATCTCAGCACGGATACAGAAGGCTCTTTGGGCATATGCCATTTTATGCCGTCTCTGGCGTAGACGTGATATCCAGCCGGTTACCGACCAAAAGGCGTGTGTACTGCTCCTCTGTCCTCCGTTACAGCTGTCAGACTTGGCCATTGAGAGTGGAAGACATGAAAAGGCTATCTGTCTTTGATCATAGGTGTCTGCGTTCTATCTCCCATGTGAAGATGTATAATAAGGTGAGCAATATTGAGGTTAGGCATCGGTCAAGTGCTAGGTAAGGAGGGGGAAATCAATCGACGAGGCTGTAAAGCTACATAGATTGAGATGGGTAGGACATGTGTTACGTATGCCTAGTCATCGCCTTCCTCGACAATGGGCAATGTTAGCTGACATGGGGTCAGGTTAGAAAAGAGCCAGTGGCGATCAAACCAAAACATGGCTTCATCAGTCAATGAAGTCCACAACGGTTAGTTCAAGCCACGTAGGAAGGTGCAGACTTCCTGGTTGGGGTTCTCGGGACGGTGAGAACCAATCGTTCCCAATGGCGCAGATGCATCCACTCCTTGTGACTTATAATACCCAATAAAACTATTGTTCTTCGATATTACTATTCTTTTTGTCTCATATCTCTGTTTTGCATTTCTTCCACTTCTTCTCTTGCTTTGTGTGGTGCTTGGAGTGTGGCAACTTGAACTCATGCACATCGGTGCAAAGTTCTTTGTTGATAACAGACAGACAGATTGCACTTGTGCGGTGTTGAATCGATAAACAAAGCTTCAGTCATTAACCTCTCTCTCTTCACCTATGTTACTTTTTAATAATTTAGCAGAGTCCATTATTCTAATAATCTAGTGGACCTCGATCTACTAGTTTGACCTTTGTAATTGACCTCAGAGTCATTACATGGTGTTTGGCAAATTACATTGCTTAATTGAATCTATTGGGTCCTTAAGCCGACACAGTTTATCTCAGAGAGTTGGTTGGTTTAAATGCCACGCTAACTCCAGTATTATTGAGAATCTTACGTAAGGCCTCTGACGTTCCTTCTTTATACGGTAGTACTACAGAGGCTTTGAACGCTGTATTATTTTCGTCATCTTTATTGCTAATCTTAGTTTTTCTACGGTTCTTCATATATTTTTGAATAAATTCTGGTGGGTGCTTATGAACCAGTAATATTTCCTTTATTTTTACGATTTCATTATACAAATCTTCCGGTTTACTAGTTAGGCTGTTGGTACAGCGACAAATCGGTAAACCGTGTGACTAAACTGATGTGGTTATCAGCACTAATTTATGCTCGAAACATCATCCAGTTGTTAATACTGCAACTGTGTATGATGTTTAAAATGAACTTATCTAATATAGATGAGACTTCAAGTCAAAGGCTCGGGTCTCGGTCCTTTAGACAACCACCTACTTCGGTCCTGGATGGTCCTCACACAAACTATGAGATTTGTGTGCCGCATGCCTTTGTGACTGTAATGTACCAAGTTTGTGTTTTTATAATAATAAATAAATAACCAGTCATTGTTTAGGTTCATGAATAATCCATATCTTCGATAAGGTATCATTGGTTTTTAGTGTTTTATTTTTCTTTAGTACAGTTAAAACTGTCCTTAGACATAATATCTCTTTCTCCGTCGTTTTCGATGGCTAGTATTTGGTTGGTATTATTGATGGCATCCAAATTGTGTTTCAAAGCTAATTGAACAAATAACCATTGAGTTGTCTACTAATGAGGGTTGCTGAACCCCTAGTATAAAGTTAATCCGTACGATCTATAGAGAGTTGATCGCTTCAGCCTTCATTGTTATTGTCAATTCCCTTTTCTAACGAATTCGCATATAGTGATAATATTTATATTCATATTATATCCAATGAATATAGAAAAAGATAAGGAGTAATAATCGTTTTACATCTGACTGGACGAAGTACACATACATGTTGTCCAGGAGTTGAATCCCACTCCACCCTTATTTCATTTTTAGACAACTGGGTAATATTATCAAACTGCCTGACTTTTCAAGTTGAAACAAGCATCAACTGTTGACCCTGAATGTGGGGAACGATAGTAGCTTGGGTAGCAAAAAAAATTTTCTGTGTAGAGAACCACTTAAGTGCAGCTTTGATTTATTAATTTATTCCACGATTCACGGACTTTTCTCAAGTATTGTCCGTTTCATCTACTTCAGAGTAGGTAAATGTGTAATATTATTAGCTCTCACACAGCCTGGCATATGGGAAATCTGTTTAAGGTAGTTGAGTTCTAACTAACCAAGGTGATATCTTACCTTACTTCGATGACTGTAAAGCATAGTTTATCTATCAAAATAAGAGGAGAATAGATAGCATTGGTGAGTGATACAGCCTATACATGTTAAATGAAGTAAGATTAAGTTGAAAGGATGCATATATTTTTCGTGTGTCATTTGGTCACAGAGCATACTGATGCGATGGTTTGTGTCGCAAAAGTGTACATTTACTTTAATTTTAATTGCATTATGGCATTTGTCTATTTATTACATCTTGTCTCTACAACCTCTGCTTTCCTGCCTCCTCTTCCTTATATGAGATGATGTCCCAACTCAGTAATGTTCAGTCCTATTTTGACAATATGTCTGAATTAGTAAATTCCTCTTCCTTGACCATATCTATAGTTATTACGTTACAAAAGTTTCGAAAATATATTTCAGAACATATCACTTGCTGCAAAAAAATAATTGTTCGCCGCATCCTTAACTTATTATTATTATTCGAATCAGTTACTTGCAATAAAGTATTATTTATTGGAAAACATTTCTGCTTACTTTTACCAAGGTGTATTAAGCTTATCAGAGTGCAGTAAACTTATACCGACGAATGATATGAAGTTATTAAAATCTCAGAATGGTGGTTTACAGACTGTTCTAAGAAATCATCATCAATGCTTTCGAAGTGAGTTTACGCATAACATCAATTCCTCTATCTCTCATTTGTCGTATCCTTTTACTTGATAATTCGAGTTAAAATCATGAATATGAAATACACTGCAAGTAGGACAACAGTATGTCAACCTAATTTGTCGTCATTGATTAAACATACTCAGATCAAATGGTTTTACATTCATACAATTAATTATCAGATAGTTGGGTTATCTAGACAGAGGAATAGAACTGCACGATACACTAGAACTGTAGTCATGTATTCATCCATCTTATCTTAAGAGCGAGTATTCATTCATTGAAATTACTCATTTCAATCAAGTTTGTTATGCATATTAAGCGAGTGCAGTTATCTTAAGATGCCTAGAGCATAAATCTAATCGAAGTTTGCAGTTAAAGACAGATATCACGTTGAACAATTAATTGTTATCGAGTAACTAGAGCCTTAAGGAAGAAAATACCCTTATTCAGTTACACAATCATTCTAAACTATGAAGACATTTTTATAGGTTTTTGTAAACACATACAGCGTTCTACAATCAAGTTGACTCATGATCCGATTGTTTTTTAGAATAGTGGTGTCAAATCATTCCTAGGGATGCACAGCATTATTTGATAGGGGACAACTGTTGGGTAGACATGGTTTTTTATGTGAAGATCTTTCACACGAAACTTATAGTAATGTAAGTTTTATCTAATTGTGTTCTTTGTTTATTTTCAAAGCTATCAAAAACAATGTTCAGCTACGTTGGTCGCCAAATAAGATGCTGCAATTAAAGGATTCTTTGTCTGTACCAAACAGCAAAAAAAGTGAAAAGAATCGCAAAATGAAACTGTGTTGGATGTTGCTGAATCACCCAGATGGTTGCCCATACCCTTCAGAATTGTGCGATTTTGCTCATAGTGAGAGTGAGATTATTTTAAAAACCTCTGAGCAATAATTGTAATTATTATTTATTCTGCGAATAATGTATATAATTGGTAATGGAATACCAATGAATTCAGAATACACTTTATACCCGATCGTTGATTATTTGTCTATAGAAACGTCTAAGGTGTCTTGCTAAAGTATGAAATACTAGCGTATGAATTCTGATCAAACTAACAATTTTTCATGTTTTTTTTACTACAGTATTGCATGCAGTTACTACATTATCAATAAATAAAATTCTGCAAAGAGTCTCTTTTCGGAGAATTCATTTTCAAAGCTGTACAATCGCAAATATATATGGTTATTTTGTGTGTGTATTCATTAAATTTGTCAAACAAAATACGGTTAGTAAGTTCAAATGAATTGGATGTTGATAAGAGGATAGCAACAAAAGTGATGAGTTGTCAAAACGATTGTTAAAGAGGAGTAAGTTTAGGTGAATTGGATGTTCATATAAGAGGGTAGTAACAAAAGTGATGAGTTGTCATAAATGATTATTAAATAAGAGTTACGTAATGGTATGAATAGTTTGATGAATGAGTTGTACTCTCCCTCGACGTTGAATCACTATTTACCAACGTTCCACTCACAGAAACTGTCTCTTATATTTGTCACTATGTAACAACAGAAGACAAGGGCCAGGCAACAGATCAGTTTTATTACGAAAACCAACAGGTATTTATATGTATTTTACGTACATTAATAGGCTTCTGCCCGCAGAAAGAAGGCGGTCTTCTGATTGGTTGTTTGCAAACAAACGCAGTCTTCTGCTTTCTCGTTTTCGATATTTCTCGGAAATGCGAGCCACTTGTCTGCGAATCATATTTGTCCACGTCTAGGTCAGCTGTGATCGGTCGTTGAATCAGCCTAGATTAATTTCTACCAATCAGCGTAGATCAATGTCTACCAATTGGCTAGCAGCTTGCTCTCACCACAACTATATCGACGAAAATCAGCTGGACATCGGATTACCGACGATCTGTTTAAAAGAACTACTACTGAGATGTACACTCAATATGCAATTCACATTCAACGACATTATTTACAGACAAGATGGGATCGCAATGGGATCTCCACTGAGCTCATTACTATCAGACTGCTTCATGGCAAGCCTCGAGAACAGCCCACTCAAATCAACCATCGACAATTTCCAGTTGTACATTAGATATATTGACGACATCTTTATCATCTGTGATGACGATCACAATCTCAATCAACTACTACAAATATTCAACAAATGCCATCCAGTCACAAAGTTCACTTTGGAAACTGAAAACGAATCAAAAATCCCTTTTCTTGACGTAGAGCTTACAAGGAGAGATGACGGAACTTTAAGAAGGTCAATCCATAGGAAACCGACTTGGAACGGACAACTAACAAGTTTCTACAGCTGGGTACCAATCAGTCGGAAAAGAAACCTAATAAAATCCCTTGCCACTCGCGTCAGACGCATCTGCAGCTCCGACACCATGGAAGAAGAACTAAACTTCCTGAGGGAAATCTTCATACAAAATGGCTACCCACCAAGATTTGTAGATAAAAACAGAAAAACCAAAAGCAAGAGACACCATCCGTGCCAAAAAAGATACTTTATATGAACCTAGATTTCAAAGGAGATCTACTTAGTGACGTCCTCAGAAGGAGAATTTCCACCTCTTTAGGAAGAACTTTCCCTGCGGTAACACTAAGAATAGTGTTCTTCAGTCGCCCGCTGATCTGCAGAAACCCAAAGGACAAGATTCCGCACATGACCACTTCTATGTGTATATATCAGTTCACCTGTTGCTGTGGAGCCAGGTACATCGGTCGTTCAACGCGCATCCTGTCAAAAAGGGTCAAAGAACACTACCCAGCGTGGCTACAGAAAGGAAATAATGGCCATATAAGGAGTGCAATAATCGAACATCTAGTCAACACTGGTCATTCCATCTCAACGAACGCCTCCTTCAAAGTGAAGAACAACCTCCCAAAGACAGTACGATTTCGTCTTCTTTGCATCGCAGAAGCCCTAGCCATCCAGTTGGTTGAACCAGAACTATGCATACAAAAGAAAATTATCCAACCTCTTCTACTCGCATGGTAACAACTCCGTTGATTTGACCCAACTCTTCTTTGTTTGTTTGATTTGACCTTACTTCTGTTTGTATGCTTATTTTTCTAACTTAAAACCCTTGTGTAATTCTATATATTATTTTGTTTCCATGCACAACCTTTGAGTACAACTCATTCATCAAACTATTCATACCATTACGTAACTCTTATTTAACAATCATTTATGACAACTCATCACTTTTGTTACTACCCTCTTATATGAACATCCAATTCACCTAAAATGTTTCATGTCTAAAGACCTGTAACCGCCCCTTTATCGAGATTAGACACCTATTCGTAGTACTATTGTGATAATTTTCAAATAAAGTATAATTACATTTCAATAGTTTACACACAATGATAAGTTTTGTTATTGGTAATAATTTTCACTTAACTTGATTTACTGAAAGTAGAGTAAGTCCACCAGCACTTCCAGAATATGCCACAATCCCATAATTAGTTATCACCATACATACCTAACAAGTAACAAATTCACCTCGTGCATACTAGTCATGATGAATGGTTTATTAATGAAAACTGTGCACTAGTTGAGAAGAATGTATGCAATACAAACATTTATATTAGAGCTGCTATCATATTACACTGGAAAAATATATTCTCACTGTAGTAAAATAATACATAAAAAACAGCAATCATTAGAGGTGAACTGTGAAATTTCTTTATTTCTGATTAGCCAGTAAGATAGCCAACAAAGCCATACGAACATGCATCCCGTATTCCGCTTGACGGAAGTAGGCTGCTCGAGGATCCGAGTCGAATCTGGGACTAATTTCTCCAACTCGCGGAAGTGGATGCATTACAATCATACCTGTGGGTTTAGCCAATGCCATCAATTCAGGTGTGACAACGAATTGATCATTTCTAGCATCTCCACCATCATTACTCTGAATCCTTTCTGTTTGCACACGTGTCATATACAAAACATCGGTATCCGGGAGTGCCTCTTCTAAGCTGCGGGCGAAAATAGCAGAAAAGAGTTACGTGACTAAGGTTATATAAAAACTGTGTTACTTAGCTTATAGATATATCTCGTGCCCTTATCTTTTCATGGAAACCTGTAGGTTAAACGAGTGAAAATCAACTTACCTTGACATTTCTTCTTGTGGAATGCCTCGTTCTGCAACGTAGGTTTTGACTTCTTGTGGCATTTTAAACTCATCTCTATGAGTGACGTAACGTAACTTAACTTTATATAAACATAGTAGTCGTGCTAAACTATGCACCGTGCGTCCATGAGCGAGATCTCCGACCATAGTAATGGTTAGACCATTTACTGTTCCTATCTCTTCTCTGATAGTGAAAACATCCAGCAGTGCTTGAGTAGGGTGTTCCCCTATACCATCACCTGTAACAATAAGAAAAACATGATATGAAGTACTCATAATAAATGATAGAAAATGCACATTACTGATAAGCGTCGTTTCAGTGGGAAATGTGCCGTCACATTTGTTTGAGCAAGTAGTCCCATTCAACAACATTTTGTTTTGAAGACACTTTATGTACGCCAACCTCGATTCAAAGTCAAGCATTATTATAAGTATTTTAGTTAGTAGATGGATGTCATTGGTTGTTAGTGTAATATTTCCTAGTTTTTATAATCATAATATCATTCAGGCCTTACAAACACATGCTACTGAATACGTAAACTCTATTCCAATAATGATGTTATGCATTTGTTTGATCTAACAACAAATCAGGTACTTTCGGATATATCTTTCTTCATTTACAAGGTGCTTTGTAGGGTCGTCAGTGGGATTAACTCAACAGAGTACAGTTTAAGCTGAAAATTATAGATTACAGTTATGTAATGTAGCTCATATGTAGACGTCAATAAACACCGCATATTAAACGTATTTTTATCTTTATATAACCTAACTTAACAACTAAAGACCTGATGGTTACTTGTCGTATACAGTGGATGTTAAGGAGATTGAGTGAACAAAATTATTAAAGCAACTTTTGACATGTCAGTAACACCATCTTAATGATGTGAAGTCTCAGCACCATAACAGAGTTCATTTGGAACATTGTTTTGAAAATTATCAAGTGTTCATTATTGTCAATCAAAACCTTTGGAAGATTCAGCGAACACAATAGGTCTGCATTATAACTGCCCTACTTTTTTCCTGAGTTGTTTATATTGCTAACACTCTATATGTAGCCAATTTTTGGTGTTCTGTTCTCTTCATTGATGTTGAGTTACCTATTTTGGTATTTTTACATCACCTTGCAATGCTTACAAGGTATTTGATGTATCAAGTTATCTATTATTGAAGCAATCTAACCTTAACATTGTTGAGAATCCTACATAAAGTCTTTGTTTTGCTTGGTTATAAATTCCAAAAGTCTAAATTTTATTACATATACATTTCAACCTTTTCAGGATGTAAGGTAACTCTTAAAATAATGGTATACATCAACCCTTATTTTAAGGATGCTAAATACACTGGTCAAATGAGTTGATTAAATTACTTATTTGGGAAGTAATTCGACAGCTTGCTGATGAAATTTCAGCATAAATCCACTTGACATTTGTTAATTGCTTTCACCTTTGGCACCAGTATGGTTAGTATCCAATATTCAAACATGACTTTATTGTAGGCATGGTCGCAGGAAATAGCAAAAATCGCCCTGTGAGTTGGCAAAAGGAGGAGTCACTGATAAGAATATTGTATTAAGTAGTAAAACAAAGGTGAGTCAGTCAGTATGTTTGTCCACCAGTGTGCTGGAAATTATTTAAGAGAAGTCTAACCAAAACGTGTGACGCTTATCTACGAATTCTGTTGCTATTGGTATCAGCCAAGTAAAATGATTCAAAATAATTCAAACTAGAACAAGTATGTTCAATCTTCATCAACAGAGGCTTGAAACTCTTTTGCTTATTTATAATTACCGCTTACATTATTTGTTTTAAAAATATGGCATCTTATAAGATAATCATTAAATGATGGTGTGAAGATTCTTTATTCAAACTGTTTAGATTACCGGTCAAACTCTTGACTCTACTGTTTAAGCACACCATCGAATCTTACTAATAGATTTAAAATGAGATTGAAGTAAAATTCATGTCCTTATCAGAATATGTGTCAATTTAAAAAAAATTATGGGTACAAGGGTTATAGTAAAATGACTATATGCCATGCCTATATTTTATAATCAGCTTGCGATTATTTTGTTTTCATATAAAATATAAAATAAACAATGTCTTCATGTGCTAAACTTCCGATTTTCGATGTGGTTTTTAGGTCATTAGATGCTTACA